TACTCTCTTGAGGAAGGGGGCCATAGAATGTGTTCCTCCTCTCTCAAGAGCGTCCGGGTTCAACAGCTGTTACTTCATCGCTCCGAAGAAGGATGGGGGGGGGGGTTGCATCTGATCTTAGATCTCCGTCTTCTGGACCGCGCTATCAAACAGCTTCGGTTATCACGCAAGGGCGTTCCCAAAGCGAATCTCGACGCAGCGTCTCGTTCCCTCGGGGAACCATGGTTACATACGTAACCTAGAGACATTATATTCAACTCACCAGACATTTCATTTCCAAACTGCCAAAATATGTATAATTATAATTATAATTAAAGCTGCAAGCAGCGATGAACGGGCCCTCGCACCCGGGCTCACCGCCACCCGGTGGCTTTAGGAAAACAGCAAACAGTGGGCAATATGCAATAAGTGGTAAATATAGGAGGAATATGTCAAAGTCATTCATATGTACCAGACTTCCTGCTGCCAGCTGGTGGCGCTATGATTATAACTGGATGTTGGCATGTAGGTGTCTTCAGGCCAGGACTTTTATTAAACATGTGAAGTCTGGAGCAGATTGAACATGGTATGTTTGAGTTAGTGTAAAGCATGGCATATCTTGTTGCCAACAGGTGGCACTTTAATTATTACTGAACATTGACATGTAGATGTCTTCAGGCCAGTATTCTTACTAAACATGTGATGTTTGGTGCAGATTGGACATTGCATGTTCAAGTTAGTGTAAACAAAGTAATTTCCTGTTGCCAGCAGGTGGCGCTATGATTATAACTGGATGTTGGCATGTAGGTGTCTTCAGGCCAGGACTTTTATTAAACATGTGAAGTCTGGAGCAGATTGAACATGGTATGTTTGAGTTAGTGTAAAGCATGGCATATCTTGTTGCCAACAGGTGGCACTTTAATTATTACTGAACATTGACATGTAGATGTCTTCAGGCCAGTATTCTTACTAAACATGTGATGTTTGGTGCAGATTGGACATTGCATGTTCAAGTTAGTGTAAACAAAGTAATTTCCTGTTGCCAGCAGGTGGCGCTATGATTATTATTGAATATTGGCCTTAAGATGTATTCTGGCCAGGACTCTTATCAAACGTGAAGTTTGGGGGGCAGATCGAACATTGCATGTTTAAGTTAGTGTAAAACAAGTAATTTCCTGTTGCCAGCAGGTGGCGCTATGATTATAACTGAATATT